CAGGAATGCACGCACTCATCTGTAAGGATGTACTGTGCTGGGTATCTCGGAATTTCCTCCAGCTACATCCAAGCAGAAAAAAAGGTCAGACCAAGGATTATCTGCAGACCCTTCCACCCTTCCACGTCTGCCCAAACACGCCGTTTGAACATCCTACCGGTGCCTAAGCAGCTCTGTGCAATTCTATCCTGACCTGCGACTCAAATAAACATTTTTACTGCCTGTTTCTGTACCATATTTATTCCACCCTGAGTGCTTTTCTTGAAGTACGCAGGAGTTTATAAGGGTAAGAGGATAGAGGAGGAGGAAGAAGAAAGCAAAGAGTCGCTCCCACCCTTCCATGCGTGCAACCTGCTACCTACGGATGGGGAGGACAGCACAGAACTGGGCTTTACCTAACATGTGAACTTGATCGACCGCCCCACCTTGTTCGTGAGTTTTCCAATACGATTTGTCTCCAGGAAATTGCTCCCCTCAAAATTCTTTTAAAAATCACTTTTTTTTTTTTTTTTAATGAGACACGCGGGCGTCAGGAAATGTCTGTAAACATAGAGGGCAATTGGGAAATTCCCCCCCCCTCCTTCCCTCGCAGTAAAGAAAAGGCCCGTGGAGCATCGCGACTCCAACCTTGTTCACTGCTGAACAAATGCAGATTAAATTCACAACGCTTTGCACGAGGATCAAGAGAAGCCAACGAAACAAATGCCAAACCCCAGCATATCAAAAATCACAGCAGCACTCAGCCATTTCCCAGGCATAAATGTCAAGGAACAGAGAATGGAGTAGAAATGCTGAGAGCTTGGCTAGGTGCAGGCTGCCAAGCTATGCCTGTGGCCAGCCAGGCAAAACCAGGAGTCCGGGGCTCATCTGCCTGGGCCCTGAAGGGAAGAGGGCTGGGCACCTGAAATGCCTGGAAATGCTTAGGCAGAAGAGGTAACGATGAGGCGGGCGGGGGGGTTGAAGGATGATGACCTGATTTTACTGTGTGGGGAAAGAAATGGAAGATGAGGTTTAGTTTATGGGTGAAGAAAAAAAAAAAAAGGTGGTTTTTTTTCCTAGCATTCCCATACAAAGCATCACACACGTGTACGGTGTGCAAGCGTGCGGTTAAGGAACACGCCACCTTTCCGGCCACGACAACCAACGAGCAGCTTCGATTCATTTGCAGAACCATCTGCAGGAAACCTTTTTGCTTCCCTGCACCCCGTAAGGCCCCCTCAGCCAGACGACTCTCCCGTCACTCTTCCTCACTCTTAATCTTCAGTTTCCCATCCCTTGTTACTCCTTGAATACTTTCCACAGGCAGTAAACCCCGGAAAGTTTAGCTAAGAAAAGGCCTGGAAGTGAGAGGAGCTCGGGATTTCCCCCCCGTGGCGAGCCCTGGCGTGACTCGTGCCCAAATGCTGCCCAAGACAGACGCCCGAGCGGGTGCGCAGGCCCTCGGGAGGCAGCCCCCGAAGGCGCACGGTGAAGCGCGGTGCAAGTGAAGTTTCTTTTAAGAGTTTCAGAATGAACATGAACAGTTAGAGGATGTATTTCTGCTGCTTGTTTTTTCCACCTTCCACTACCAGCGATGCTGGAACCCTACAACTGATCTTGTTTTGCTGCTGATTTCGTGACGACTCAGCCCTCACCCCAGAAGCACAGAACACTTCACTCCAACAAAAGCCTGGGCTTAAATGCTCCGGGCCTGAGAGCGTTTCGGGGGGGAGGATGAAAGCGTTGCGTGCTTTGCTACGAGGGAAAGGACGGCAGATTTACAGATGTTGAACAGAAACCCTGCTCCGGCCAGATAATTCGAACAAGAAAATATTCCATTTACCATTTTCAACATGGGCAAGTCTGTGCATGAGAGGCAGCCACACAAGGCACTGAGGAGGCGGGTCAGCCATCAACGTGTCTAGGAACATGTTTAGCGTGACCTTTTTCTGCAAAAAAAAAAAAGAAATACAACGTTATTAGTAGAAAAAATTCAGTATTATACACCAAAACCTGCTTCAGCCTTAAAGATCTCTCTCTGTCTCAACTTGTGTCTACCAGGAATATTCCATACGCCAGAAGGAGACAAAAGCCGTAACTCAGGGAGTTTCAGTCTGTATTAGGCAAACAGTAACACCACGAAGAAGGTATCGGCATAGACACATAGAAAGGAAAAAGATGAACAGATGGGCAGAAAACTCCAAGGAACGGGGGACTCGTCAGTCAGGACGGGGTCCCACGCCGCAGCTAAAGGTTCTTGTTGGGCGGAGGGGCACAGCAAACGAGCAGGGGTTATTTGCCAGCGTAGCAAACAGGGGGCAAACACACAGACAGCACTGAAAAAGGTGGAGACACACACAAGAAAGGGTAATTGCAACCAATCTCCATACGTGGTACATGCAGTAAATAATTCTTTTTAAAGGGAAAATAAGGAAAAAAGAGGCAAGAGGGGAACTAAGATTTTTAACAACTGCCAATGAAAAAGCAATTGAAATTAAATCAGTAAGTCAGGGACGTTAAGAGTAATATTTTCAAATTCAAGTGAGCAAGAGAAAATTTCTGCTGCAAGTAGGAACAGATGGAAGAGAAGGCTGAGAGGGGATCTCATCACCACCTCCAAATGTCTCAAGGGTGGGGGTCACGAGGACGGAGCCAGACTCTTCCCAGTGGTGCCCAGCGCCAGGACAAGGGGCCATGGGCACAACCTGAAGCACAAGAGGTTCCAGTTGAACGGGAGGAAGAACTTGTTGACTGTGAGGGTGCCCGAGCCCTGGCCCAGGCTGCCCAGGGGGGCTGTGGAGTCTCCTTCTCTGGAGATCTTCAACCCCCGCCTGGACGCTGTCCTGTGCCCCCTGCTCTGGGTGAGCCTGCTTGGGCAGGGGGGTGGCACTGGGTGAGCTCCCCAGGGCCCTTCCAACCCTTGCCATTCCAAGGTATGCCATGTCCGAGACCAGAAAGGGCTGTTCCAGGACCCACGATGCTCATGGTGCTAATGGCAGCAGCATCCGCAGTTGAGGTGCAGGTTGTATGATTCAAATCTTAACAGAATTCTTATTTGCTTACTTGCACAGGTACCGTACAGCTTTAAAATGTGCCTCCAAGGTTCCCAGTGTTGACCTGGCTCTCATCTCCCGTACTTGTTTCATAAGCAAGATTCTGAAGGTTGCTGCAAATCACAAATACTGCTGGCAGACAGACAGGTTTTCTGGAGACGAGCCTCAGGAGCCATCAGACATCACACCCATTTTTAAAAAGCATAAAAAAGGAGGAGCCTGGGAACCACCCATCAGCCTTGCCTCCATGCCTGGGGGACACGGAGCAGATCCTCCTGGAACACATGTCAGAACACAGGGAAAACAGGAAGGAGACTGGAGACAGCCAGCAGGGCTTCATGAAGTGCAACTCAGCCTGACTGATCTAATGGCCTTCTACGACGTGACTGCACCAGTGGACAAGAGAAGAGCTATGGATGGCACATACCGGGACTTCTGCAAGGCCTTTGATATGGTCCATCCCAGCATTCTGGCCACTAAATTGGAGAGCTAGGAGTGTGATGGATGGACTGTTAGGTGGATAAGTAATTGGCTGGATGGCCGTATCCAAAGAGTTACAGTCAATGGCTCAATGTCCAAGTGGAAACCAGTAATGACTGGTGTCCCTCAAGGGTCTATACTGGGACCAACACTATTTAATATCTTCATCGATGACACAGACAGACAGGGACCTGCTGGAGCGGGGCCAGAGGAGGCCACGGAGATGGTCCCAGGGCTGGAGCCCCTCTGCCATGGAGAGAGGCTGGGGGGGGGGGGGGGGGGTGGGCCGGGGGAGGGGG